CTTTCACAGACTATTCCAAAAAATCCAGAAAGATGGAAGACTCCCAAACTCTTTTTATGAAGCCAGCATCATCCTAATCCCAAAACCAGATAAAGACACAACAAAGAAAGAAAACTTCAGTCCAATATTGCTGATGAACATAGAGGCTAAAATCCTCAACAAAATACTGGCAAACCACATTCAACAATACATTCAAAAGATCATACACCATGACCAAGTGGGATTCATCCCAGGGATGCAAGGATGGTTCAATATTCGCAAATCAGTAAATGTAATACATCACATAAACAAAAGCAAAGACAAAAATTACATGATCATATCAATAGATGCGGAAAAAACATTTGATAAGGTACAGCACCCATTTATGATAAAAACACTTAGCAAAGTGGGAATAGAGGGAGCATTCCTCAACATAATAAAGGCTATATATGAGAAACCTACAGCCAACATCATACTCAATGGGCAAAAACTAAAATCTTTACCACTAAGATCGGGAACAAGACAAGGTTGTCCACTTTCACTACTTCTATTCAATATAGTAGTGGAAGTTTTAGCCACAGCAATCAGACAAGAAAATAAAAGGCATCCAAATCGGAAAGGAGGAAACAAAACTCCTTGTTTGCAAATGACATGATAGTGTACCTAAAAAATCCTGTAGACTCCACCAAAAAACTGCTTGACCTAATAAATGAACTTGGCAAAACAGTGGGGTACAAAGTCAATATCCAGAAATCAAAGGCATTTTTGTATACCAACAATGAAACAGCAGAAGCAGAAATCAAGAAAAAAAATCCATTCGATATAGCAAAAAGAAAAAATACCTAGGAATAAACCTAACGAAGGAGGTAAAAGACCTGTATGCAGAAAAGTATACAACAGTGAAGAAAGAAATCAAGGAAGACACAAACAAATGAAAACATATACCATGTTCATGGATTGGAAGAATTAACATCATCAAAATGTCCATACTACCCAAAGCAATTTACAGATTCAATGCAATACCTACTAAAGTACCAATGGCATATTTCACAGACATAGAACAAACACTTCAAAAATTTATATGGAACCATAAACAACCCTGAATAGCTGCTGCAATTTTGAGAAAGAAGAGCAAAGTAGGAGGGATCACAGTACCTGATACCAAACTGTATTACAAGGTGACTGTAATCAGAACAGCCTGGTACTGGCATAAAAACAGGCACATGGACCAATGGAACAGAACAGAGAGTGCAGAAAGAAACCCAAGTCTACTGTTAATTAATATTCGACAAAGGGGGCAGCAACATAAAATGGAGTAACAATAGCCTCTTCAACAAATAGTGTTGGGAGAACTGGACATCTACGTGCAAAAAAATGAAACTCGAGCACCAACTTACACCATACACAAAAATAAATTCAATGTGAATAAAAGATTTAAATATAAGCCGTGACACCATTAAAGTTCTTGAGGATAACACAGGCAGGAAAATCTCAGATATTTCACACGGCAATATTTTTACTGTCCCTAGAGCAAGGGACATAAGGGAAAGAATAAACAAATGGGATCTCATCAAAATAAAAAGCTTCTGCACGGTTAAAGAAAACAGTATTAAAATAAAAAGAGAACCAACTGTATGGGAAAACATATTTGACAATGATACCTCAGACAAGGGTTTAATCTCCAAAATATATAAAGAACTTACATGACTCCACTCTACGAAGACAAGCAACCCAATAAAAAATGGGCCAAGGACTTGAACAAACACTTCTCCAAGGAGGACATACAGAGGATCCAGAGACACATGAAAAGATGCTTGGTATCACTAGCTATCAGAGAGATGCAAATTAAAACCACATTGAGATACCACTTCACACCAGTCAGAATGGCCATCATAAACAAAGCAACAAACAAGTGTTGGAGAGGTTGTGGAGAAGAGGGGATCCTATTGCACTGTTGGTGGGATTGCAGACTGGTAAAACCACTATGGAAAACAGTATGGAATTTTCTCAGAAAACTAAAAATGGATCTGCCTTTTGACCCAGCAATTCCACTGCTGGGACTATATCCTGAGAACCCTGAAACACCAGTCCAAAAGAACCTATGTACCCCAATGTTCATAGCAGCACAATTTACAATAGCTAATTGCTGGAAGCAACCTAGCTGCCCATCAGCAAATGAATGGATCAAAAAAACTATGGTACATTTACACAATGGAATTCTATGCAGCAGAAAGAAAGAAGGAGCTCCTACCCTTTGCAACAGCATGGATGGAACTGGAAAGCATTATGCTAAGTGAAATAAGCCAGGCGGCAAAAGACAGATACCATATGATCTCACCTTTAACAGGAACCTAAACAACGAACAAATGAACTAGCAAAATATAACCAAACACAATGAAATAGAGAACAGGCTGACAGTGACCAGAGGGGAGAGGGGAGGGAATTTCAGGGGAAAAGGGGAAGGGTTTGCAGGAACAAGTATAAAGGACACATGGACAAAAACTAGGGGGTGTGGAAATGGGAAGGAGTTGGGGAGGGCTGGGGGGTGGGCTAGGATGGGAGTAAAAGACAGAAAACTGTACTTGAACAACAATTAAATTAAAAAAAGAAAAATATATGCTTTCCTCCAAAAGCATGCTTATTCCTTTTTCTATATTTAGTTCTTCTTTATACTTTTCTTATGTTCTTGGTCCTGTCATTTCTCATGTGTTATAGAATTTGTTCCATTCCCTATATTTTTGCACTGTTCATTTGCTGTAAAAATTGTAAGGTAAACACCAAGGTCAATATCTTAAACAGAGCCCTTAAAATAGCTTTTATCCCCAAATAAGAGATACCTACTCCTGTAAATATAGAAGATAGAGCAGATGAATCAGGGAGTCAGAAATATACAGTATCTTCCTAATTGAATTTGTTTGCTAGGACATTAATTTCAGCATAAATAGAGACTAAGGAACTACCTTACTTGTGTTTCTTTTTCAAGAATATTATCACAGCAATTGGCATAACTGCTTGTCATGGGGAGATGGTGTTTTACATTTTCTGCTCTCTGCTTTAGCACATCTTTCCCAGTCTTACAGATATTCTCATACATACATACAAACATATATACATATATACATAAGATACAACTTTATTTTTTTTTAATTCACTTGAATAAAAACAAGTTGATAAGGCAGTCCGTGGTCACTCAAAATGACTTTGAAAATCATCAGGAAAAGAAATTTCCCTCTCATTGTGGTTTTAATTTGCATTTCTCTGCTGACTGGTGATGTTTAGCTTCTTTTCATATGTCTGTTGGCCATTTCTATGTCCTCTTTCAGAAATGTCTATTCAGGTCCTCTGCCCATTTTTAAATTGGATTGTTTGTTTTATTGGTGTTGAGTTGTATAAGTTATTGATTAATTTTGGATATTAACCCTTATGAGACGGATCATTGGCAAATATCTCCTCCCATTCAGTAAGTTGTCCTTTCATTGTGTTGATGGTTTCCTTTGTAGAAACTGATTGGATAAAGAAGATTTGGTACATACATACAATGATATATTACTTGGCCATAAAAAAGAATGAAATCTTACCATTTGCAACAACATGGATGGACTTAGAGGGTATTATCCTAAGTGAAATAAGTTGGAAAGAGGAAGGCAACTACCATATGATTTCACTTATATATGGAATCTAAAAACAAAAGAACAAACAAAACAGAAACAAAGCCATAGATACAGAGAACAAACGTGGTTGCCAAATTGGAGGGTAGTTTTGGGGGTGGGGTGAAAATGGGGAAGGGATTAAGAAGTGCAAATTGGTAGTTACAAAATCGTCACAGGGGTATAAAGTACAGCATAGGGAATACAATCAATAAGTGTGTCATCACTAGGTGTGGTGCCAGGTGAGTACTAGATTTACTGGGGGATCACTCTAAATCTTATGATTGATTGTCTATGTTGTACAGCCAAAACTAATATAAAATAATACTGAATATCAACTGTAATTAAAAAATAAAAAAATTGAAAAGTTTTCTCTTTTAACCATGAAGAAATGCAAGTAGCATGAAAATTGACAACCTTATCAGCTTTACATATCAGAAAAGGAAGATACTTTCATTTTACCAACAAAGAAGAGAGAGTTGTTTCCAGGGTCTGCGGTTTTCAGTCCTACAGATATTCTGTATTTGCTTTTTTAATGATCTTGTAATCATTAACATATCAAACCAATATCAAAATAACTAATGTATCTGGCTGATTGCAGGCTCTATACTGTGTTTTCTTTTGATAAACAAAAATATGTATTGGTACAGAGAAGCGTGCTTGTATTACCGATTTCATCCACAGATAAAACCTGTTCTCTATGTGGCGGGCGGGGTTCACAAAAACATTCTGTGGACTCACAGCACCAAGATTAACTTGTGCAGTCGAGAGTGCATTCTCCCCGTGGTCCTGGCCTACAAAATATACACTGAGCTTGTCTTGGGTTATATGGCCTAGTCCCTTTTTAGTCCTTAAAGAAACAAAAACTCATCTTGCCACTTAGTGGTTACTTATTTTCCCACTATTAAAATTCATTTGCTATGCTCTTATCTTGCTTAATTTCTTTGAACCCTCATTTCCCCACTGTACCATAAGTGTGCTGTTCTGTATGATTTCTTAAGGACCCTGTCCATGACTGCACACTTTCTCTGATGTGCCTGTAAACAATGAATACAAAAAAAGCAATTCGACAGGAAGAGAAAGGCTCTGAAATATCAACTTTTAAATAATCAAGACTGTGACTAACTCCATTTCAGTGGCTGCTGCTTTTTTTGGTTATTCCAGGGACTTAAGGTGGTGGTAGTTATATGAGTGAACATAAAATGTCTTCATGGAGTTCTAGCTATAAAGGCTTTACATATTTGTTGGAGTGTAATTTATTTGTAGTACCATAGAATATTCTACATGCCCACCAAGTACTGATTACTTAATTTTGGCCTAAATAAATAGAATGAGTTTAGGTATGAATGTTGCTAACCAGATTTCTTGTTGCAGACAAAACTTACCTGGGGCCCCTACTTATGGTTTTACATGCTTCGAGCTGCCACGTCAACCCTCTCAGGTATTACTTTTCTGTTTGAATATTCTATAACTACTGTAAATGCTTCAGGAGCTTTGCCAAATGGGGTGTTCCAGAAATGAAGGAGAAACAATAGGGAATTAATCACTCTCAAGGTAGCTAGTATTGAAAGGTATTAATCTAACTTGTACTTCACCTTAAAACATTCTTTAGCTTTGGGTTATGTGTTGTTTTTTTTAAGGACTGAAAATGGCTATATTCATTTAGATATAATTTTCATATTCATGAATCTTATCGGTTAGCACCTATTCTGTTGTCATGTGAAGCTTTTTTTTTGAAACTTTTCTGTTAGAAACTGTTTTGTTATTTTCTCACTTGGTTTCGTACTGATATCGTTTTCATTCTCTGCTTATTCTAAATCCTGTAGTTATCATTAATTTTATTTCATTAATATTTTATTTCTTAAATTGAAATATGGCTAAGTTATATTTGAAGGAAATAAATGATCATCTTATGACTTAATCATGGTGACTTTAAATATAGACTTTAAATCATAGAGCTTGTCCCTGCTTTCAATTTTAACTCCTTTATAGCTTCTATTCTGCTTTTTATTAGATCTAATTTTGAGTAGTCATTCATTTAACAAACATTAACTGAGTACTCAGTATATGCAAGACAGTCTGGTAAAGTAAAAAGAATATGAGCTTTACATGCAGACCTGGATTGAATTTTGGATTTTCTCTGTCAGCTTGTCAAGTTCTTCAGCCTCTCTGAGTCTAACCATTCACAGTGCCTGGCACGTGGTGGGCCCTCAGTGTATGTTTGGTGCAAGCTCTCCTCAAGCCCAGTGGCATCCCAGCTCTCTTACGTGCGTACATTTTTTGTATAAGTACCACACACTAACTGGTTCTGCCATTGAAGCTCTGGTGTCTATACATTTTTTTTAAAAAGAAAGAAACATGTAACAAATAGTTATAATACCTAGTGGTAAGTATTACTGGGAATGTTATTGGAAGCCTGTAAGGAGCCATAAGTGCTTCTTGGGGAAGTCAAGGAATTACACAGAGAAGAGATGGCCTGAATGTTCTTAATCTCCCTGAGGGCAGGGATTATAACTTTAGTATTTTTGCAGTGCCTTGCACATAGCAAGTGCACAAGAAATATTTATGGAATTGTGTAAGCCATTTAACTTTTGTATCTTTAGTGTGTGACTTTCTCGGAGAGAAGATTGCGTCTGTTTTGGGCATCAGCACCCCAAAATACCAATATGCCATTGATGAGTATTACCGGATGAAGAAGGAGGTATGTTTCCTTCTTACATTTTCTTGATTCAGTTTGGTTTGCTGTGGACTTGATGAGTTGTGTCATGAACACATGTATCCTCTAGGTGCCTAAATATAGCTCCCTTAACACTAGGCATTTCATTTCAGAGACATTCACTTCTTTATCAAATTAGCCTACATTTTATAATTTTTAATGCTGCAATTTCCCTGAGATCTATTTGTAAAGCCAAGCTAGACTTCACTGTGCTAGCTACTGTCAGGTATCTTATATTTGTTATTAATCTTCACACACCTCTCTCTGGATTATTCCAATTTTAAGATAACAGAACACAGTCTCTGTACTTAGGACATATAGACTGGATGAAGAACTGGAGTGGGTTTGATGCACAGAAAATTACAAGAACTAGAAATGTGTAAGTGCCAGTTGTGAAGGCACAAAGATGTGAGGCAGTTCTGTCTGTAGTGAAGTCTTAGTGTGGGGGTGAAAGTAGTTTAGCCTTAAACTATGAGAAAGCCTTAGTTAGCACTTAAGAGTGTGGGCTCAAGAACCAGAGTCTGAATTCAAATTCTGGCTGTGCCATTTCTAAGTTTGTCATCTTGGGCAAGATGCTTAACCTCCATAGGCCTCAGTTTACTCAGTTTACTTTATAATGAGGAAAGTTGCAGCCTCCATGCTCAAGGTTGCTCAAAGGATTAAATGAGTTAATATGTAAAATAGCACCTAGTGTATATTGGTGAATGTGAAATCAGTATTAGTATCTTTTTATTATTCTCTTTCAAGCACTTGAGGGCAATTTAGGTAAACCTAGAAAGGAATGAAGATACCTTGTATGTTTGGAGAAATGGCAAGACTACTACTTTATTGTCACCGATGCACAGAGTACAACAGGGAAGTGGCTGTAGATGAATCCGGAAAGCTCAGCTGACTTTATATTTATGTGGTTTCAAAAAATGTTTGTTGAATGAGTGTTTTTCAACACAACCAGCCTTGTTTAGAAAGCTCATTACCTCATCAGGAGTAAAGAAATGTCCTCCCTAAATGGTCTTTCTCATTCACTCTCAAGCAAGCTCTAGATTAATCTTCCCAACAGGTTAGTAATTCTGCATCATCTACCCACACTGCAGGGACCAATACACATGCCACCTCCTCCATGAATTTAGTAGTTCTGGAACTAGAAGGTACTCTTTCTAAATTTCTGTAGTGCTTATTCCTGTCTGTCTTAATGCTATTTTTACATCTTAACTTCTCTCCTAGCTTGTAAACTTTTTGAGGACAGAGATTGCCTTATCTGTATCCAGGTGCTTATAGGAACATAGACTATGCTATATCATTTAGTGTTCCCATGAATAGGCTGATACCCTATAATTGAAGTGATATAGTATTAGCTAATTTTTTTAGATTAAAATTAATCTGAAAAGGTATTGCTCCTGTCAGAGTTAGTTCAGGTTTCATCTAAGCCAAGCAGTGCTGTACTGTGTTTTAAAAATAACACCACTTTTCTTAAAATGTCATACAATAGTTTTCATTTAAATTTGGGAACAGGGAAGAAGGAAGTATATCTTAATTAGTCCAAAGTGAATTAGGCACGATACTGTTTTGGTTAAAATACACACACACACACACAAGCAGTTAAAAATGGGAGAACAAATACTATTTCGTTTGGACATTTATATTTCAGTGATTCTTGATGTTGCCTCTTTTTAGGAGGAGGAGGAGGAAGAAGAAAACAGGATGTCTGAAGAAGCAGAAAGACAATACCAAAAGAAGCTGCAGGCTGATTCCACTGTTCAGACAGATCAACCAGAAACAGTGGTATCTAATTCATTTGTGAATCTCAATTTTGAAATGGAGGGAGATTGTGAAGTAATTGCAGAAAGCAAACAAAATCCAGTCTCTGTTCCACCATAGAATGTGATGACTCTCAAACTTCAAACCTTAAGGTGGTTTTCATATCAGGAACTTTGACATTATTCAGTAATACTTAATATAGTTATTTATATTTTAAATTATTTCCTGGAAAGGGGAAAATGTTTCTTTATCCTTAGGCTCTATCTAGCAAAAGTCAGATCTGAAATTTGGATATTTGTACTATGCTTTTACTGTGTGTCAAATTAGTGTTTTGGTTTTAAAATGATATTTATAAAAAAGTAAAGGACATTTTAGACCCCTAACTGCAATTAAGAAGAGTTAAATTATCATGATTGTTTGTTATTTGTGTTTATAAAAAAAATTGGTAACTTGCTGATTAAGGCTAATTGGAGCTGATGTTCCTAATTTCAAAGGAAAATGAGGATTTTTTTCCCCTAGATCTTTTCACTGTTATTTCTTCCATTTATATATCTAACCATTAATTTCATACTAAGGATGATTCACTGAGTTTGTAATAAAAGGGGCAAGATAAAAGCACTTTGAATTTTATTTTCTTGGATATATTTTGTGGAAAGGTGATTGAATTTATAACACCAAATATTAAAATAGGTTTCCTTTTTTTTCATGTAGGTTATTTAATCTTTTCAGTAGTTATTCAAATTAATTATCTTTGAACATAATGTTAAAAATACTAAGTTATTGAATGAATTTATTAATGTATTTGTTTTCAAGTGGCAGTACCTACTGATTATCTACATGGCATCCTGGTTATGTCACTCATTCAGTCCTCAGTGCCTCCTATGGGCCAGGTACTTACAGGGAGGAGCCTGGGATTGGGAGACAGAGGAAGAGTTAACCCACCACGGGCTCACTATTAAATATTGTACGAGGTGCAGTGGTAGCATAATGAAGGTAGTTGTCATTTACCACTTCAAAGTAACAACAATAAAGTGGACAGTTTGCCTGACCCAGGTGGGCCATCTGTCTATCCACTGTGCTATTAGCCAAACTTATAAAAATACAGTATGAAACTAATTTTTAAATATTCTTAAATATGGGTTCAGAATCTTATGTATGATTTTGATTTGTAACTAAATGTAGGAAAGGAAGAGTATGTAGCAGAGTTCAGATATTGCTGCTATTAAAAGCCTATTCACAAACTTAAAAAGCCTTTAGAAATTAATGAGTATTGATAGCCATCTAAACAGCATTAAATTTTCAATCTCAAATATATCTATGTAAAATACAGAGAAACTCACAACACACATACAGTGGGCCTGTTATGGACCTCTGTTATCAATGAACATCTAGCCACTAAGTTCAGTTTTTTAACTGAAATTTGAAGAATTTATGGAAGATAATTTTTCATTAGGAATATTTGGTTACATGGATTCATAGTGTGGTTCATGGCATGTGACAGTAATCTTATTAGTCATGGGTATAAACTACACAATTTAGTGTTTCAGGGACTAATCATCAGATTATGTAATTAATGGCACTGTAAATTATAGTTTACCAGTAGCTCTAAAGCATGGTAACCTGAAAACTAGAAACTTTTCTAATTATAGCAGAAGGAAGATAATGACTTCTATTATATGTTTTATGTTTCTTGAATTTTACTTTCTTGTCCAACAATGGCTAGTTTGTAATGTTTATATGGTTATACAGTGTGCCTTAAATTTTTATATTTTTATTTATGCAAACTAGAACATTTCCCATAAATGCATTAAATGGTTTTGTCTTATTTTTAAGCCTCCTTTAGTTTTTCTTACTTTCAACCCTTTTAATATTTACCATTCCCTCTGGATCATAGTTCATGATATTCTGTCTCCTCTTCTAATCTTTCATATCTTACAAACTAAACATAGTGTAACTGAGACCTTTTACAGTGAGTTCAATTCTCTAATGACAATCCTTAACAAATGAAGTTAACCCTGGTGCTGGTTAATAAAGCTAGACATATTTTTTATACCAATGATTTCAATTAAAGTAAAATATTAACTTACTTTTTTTTTTTATCATATCTAAACACTTCTAACTCAGAAATGAAATGAATGGGAAAGTTTGTAATCTCTGATATACATATTTTAGTAGAATACTCAAGGTTAAATTACCACATTATAGTTTAAACTATTTTTCAGATATTCAAAAAAATTTTTTTAAAGATTTTATTTATTTTCAGAGGGTAAGGGAGGGGAAAGAGAGGGACAGAAACATCAATGAGTGGTTGTCTCTTACATACTCCACACTGGGGACCTGGCCCGCAACTCAGGCATGGGCCCCAACTGGGATTTGAACCAGTGGCCCATTGCTTCGCAAGCTGGCACCCAGTCCATTGAACCACACCAGCCAGGGATAGATATTCAGGTTCTTAATGACCAATGTCAGAAACATTCCCTGAAAACTTCCTTTATTCCTAAAGGTTACACAGATTTTAAGTGGACCTCTTCTACCTTCACCAGATCATACTTGCCTTATTTGAGCTAAGTGGAACCAGAATTTACTGCTTCCTAATTTGATACTATTGCTTCCAAACTATTAATTCCAATAATGAGAACATTTGCTGTGTTCTATAGGCATGTGAAGTGTTTTATTTAGACCATTTCTAAGGATTCTGCTTCAAAGGTTTTACATACAGCATTCAACTTATCTTAATGAATATAGTCTAGTCTTTGAGAGATCATGTATCATCAAGGTCTGCAGAATTTTCATTGTCATTTGCAACAAGGGCTTCCCTGTTCTCGTAAGTCCAGAAGCCATTTAGATCGATCAGAATGGTGGTGACTGTGTCTCCTTGATTACTGTTGATTAAATCCTGAAGAGAAATTTTCAAAGGATCCTTTGGTTTTACCATGTCGAAGATTTCATCCTGCAAGAGAGAAAAAATACAATGAAATCTGATATATGACTCACTTAATTTCTACCACACAGTGACCTAAAATTCAGCACTTAAGCTTATGTAAAATTTATATTCCAGTTTTTTCTTTTCCATTCAACAGATAGGTAGTTTCCTTTATGTACAATCACAGAATTGCACTGGAAGAGTCCCTCAGGTAGGTGATAACTATCCCTCACTGAGGAATAAACAGGCTCAGGGTCTGAGCTAACACAACCTACATAGCTAATTAATAGCTAAACTGTCTAATGCAGTGTTCTTTGAATGCATGTTAACTACTTTTCTTTTGTTGGTGGTAAAACAAAGCCTTCATTTAATTTAAATGCAAATTCAGCTCAAAGTAAAAACTTAAATGCTTCAGAACCAAGACTATGATAAAGATTTATTTCCAAATTTGATGTCAACCTTTTACTCTGGACCTAGGATGGGGATGGGGGTTGGTATTAAAGAATTAGTCATCCGGAATGACATGAAATTGTGCTAAAACTTGCTGAATAGATGGAAGAACTTCTGTTATGAAATGTACTGTATGAATGAATATTTATAAGGAATTAGTATATGTTTTCTAAGCTTTTGGAGTAAAACTCAGTATTTAATATCATTAAAGGAGGAAAATTGCATTTTTAAAAGACTAGAACAATTCAGGTAAATGAAATGTATGCACTTTTATATGTTTGTGAAACTTCCTTTTCTAGGTTGGTGGCCATTTAAAACAAACTAGTTTTTAAATTGCCTGTTGCAATAGTTTAAAACTGATCTCATTTATATTAAACCAAATAGCTCTTTTTCTTATACTTGGTTAAAATTCAATGAGTTATTTTACTACATTACTCAACTTGAACCTGAATTGATGCTGGATACTTACTTCGGGGGAAAGTCTCAATACTAAAGTACCAAGTAGCAGCATGTGTTTCAATAGTGGTACTTTTCATACTGTAGGATTGATGTCTCTTTAAACTAAACATGTGCCCCGACCTAAACAGTTTCCAAGTTCAAGATTCAGTTTATGTTGGAATGGTTTGCCAAAGATGCAAGCCATATTGATTCCCTTAATTTTCAATAAAAATGAAGGAATGATTTCAATGAGAACAGAAGAGGGAAAATGTTAAAATCAAACTACAAAAATCATTAGTCAAAACGTGGCCTTAGTTTCTAGTGACTTATATATCTTTGGAACAATAAGAGCAAATACTTGGTTTGGTTCAGTACTTTATAGGTCATAAGTTGTTTTCATATAAAATTTCACTTAATACAAATGGTTATCTAATGTTATGTAAATTAAAGGATAAAGTAACCTTGACATCTTGAAATGAAACAGGATCTTGTCCATGGATTTTCATTAGTTCCTGTATGGCCTGTATTTAGCAGAAATAAATCTGTAAATAAAAAATAAAATATACAACAACCCACTCCTCCTGTCCCATGGCCTCTTTCTAGTTCCATTTTCCCATTAGACCACAAGTCTCATTGTTTCAACCACTCTTGCCAATATTCTCAACATCCTTGACCTTGCTTATCGCATCTACTCAGCAAAACCTAAAGACAGGATCAGGGTAACCCATCAACCTTTCTAGACCCACACCTTAGCTAGAGAGCTTCAGAAAGAAAGTAAGCAGGACTACAGGTTATTCCTACTACATAGGAATGTTCTCAAACCTTAGATGAGCCTTTAACGCAGCCTAGCAATTATTGTTACGACCTTTTCCCATTACCCAGGGACGCTGTTCCTACCTTCACCATTCTTTTAACACACCCAATCCACCACCTCCCCTCCTACCTTACTTTTGCCATCTCCTAGACTAGACAGAAAAAAAATGGAGGTAAATCTCCCTTGAACTCGTCTCTTTTATAAACCTCAACAAAAGAAAAATACTGAAGAAAGTACATTTGACCCTTGAATGTTGCAGGGCACCAACCCCCACACAATTGAAAATCAGAATAGCTTTTGGCTCCCTAAAATCTTAACTACTGAAAGCCTGCTGTTGACCAGAAGCCTTAACAATAACATAAACAGTGGATTAACACACATTTTGCATGTTATATGTATTAAATGTATGACATATTCTTTAAGCTAGAGAAAAGAAAAATTTAAAATCACAAGAGAAAATACATTTACAATACTGTATTGTATTCATTGGAACCATAAGTTTGTCCTCTGTTCATAAGATGAATCTTACAAGTTTGTCAGTACCTACATTAGTATTGTCTTACATGATACAAAACACTGTAGATGCTATGCATATTACTTATATTAGATACCAGAAATGAAAAATGTGAAAAAAATTCATACTTATTTTCAGGTATGGATAGTTCATGTATGGAGAGTGAATTAGTAGCAATACAATTGCTTTACAGTAGCCTAAGTGTAATCGATGTGACTGCTTCACAGTAGTGAGGAAATCTCCAAAAACTTTTTCAATATATTTATTGAAAAAATTTGCTTATAACTGGATACACACAGTTCAAAAACGTGTTGTTCAAGGGTCAACTGTATTGTGTGTGACCCAGCTTGACAAACATTTTGGGTGATAGTCAATCACTGGAAAATGTGAAGCTTAAAATTCTTGGTGCCATGGCTGGGTGGCTCAATTGGTTGGAACATTCTGTACACCAAAAGGTTGTGGGTTTGGTCTCCAGTCAGGGCACATACACCTAGGTTGTGGGTTCGATTCTGGTTGGAACGTGTATAGGAGGCAACCAATTGATGTTTTTATCTCTCTCATCAATAAACATCAGGTGAAGATTAAAAAATAAAGTAAAAAAAAAACTCTTGTAAAATAGTCAACTAAATATGTCCCAAGTGCCTACTCTGTATGTGGTACCACTGATATCAGAGTGTGCACAGGGAAACTCTGAAGTGGATGAGAATCAGAGTATACTTTAGCTACTAGTGTAGCAGACCTGGGTGGCATGATCCAGAGTGCACCATCCAGGCCCAGCTTTATCACTGGCATACTGACGTACAAAGGCTCTATGAACAGCCCAGGAGTGCAGAGCCCAGTAATTCTTTTCCTTAGCCCATACCACCAAGTGTAAATATATTGAATACTTTCAATGTATTTAATGAAATTTAACATTCTAAAAGTAGAAGATACTATAAAGAAATCTTTATGAAAAAGTAGAGTGTTTAATCACCAAAAGATATATTTACTGTTTCCCTAGATGGAATTTTCATTTAACAGATCTGCCTAAAGTGGGGGCATCCCTATGATGGGTTGGTATTATCTTTTCAAATCAGCCATTGATTTAAACCTACTTTTAAAAAAATGCATCCTAATACTGAGATTGTAATTTGTCCTAATATTTGCAGTCATCACTACTTAGAAGATCATACTGGAAAGCCGTTTAGGATATTTAACATGAAGTTATGAAAAAAATACTATGAAACTCAGAAACCAGATGAAATTATTTTAAAAGCACCAAAAAGGTTTTAAGTGGAAAAGAAAATGCCTCTGTGGAAAAAATGACTGATGCCAAAGATGTGAAAATGTTATTTTTGTTAAAAAAAAAAACGCCCCCCACTTTGACCTTAACCATATATAAATCACATGGTCTTCTAAGAACTAGCTATAGAAATGTGGTGATGGAGTAGAAAACTACTGTACGAAGATACTCCAAGTAGAAAAGTTACCACTCAAATTGAAGAATGATTTGTCTTAAAAGGCCAGATATTCCTTCTTTTATACCTGCTGCATCTGGATGCTTATAAGATACAATCAAATTGCACTTCAGAGCTCATCACATTATTCTCTAAAGCCAAGCCAACTAAGGCAAAAAATCAGCAAATATGTTTCACACTGAAATGGAGCACACAAGCCTAGCCAATTAAAAAATTTTTTTTTAATAGCACAGCAATGAAAACAATCTACAACTACCAAAGTCTACAAAACTCCTGTTCAATTAAAGCTTCTGTAGGATTTTACACACTAGTGTTTGATCACTCAGAGCACAGAATTTCTCATTCATGTTTGTATCTCCACTGGCTAGTATAGCTCCTGACATATATTTTACACTTCTTAAATATTCTACATGTAATTAAATCAGCATTGATTTAGCCTGTTTATATTTAAAAACAAAAATGAAACTAAAAACAGGCTCAATATCCTTCTAAAATCTGTTATGTAAATCCTTCTGTTAAGTTTAGACATCAAAAGTTAGATAAAATTGTCACTGAGTAGGTAATTTGAACCAAACAGTATAACACCTGTTAAGGAACAATGAGTAATTTATACCAATGAAACTTACCCTAAAGAAGTAATTAAGGGAAAAGACATTCAGATATCCCTTGTTCTCAATATCAAGCAATTTGAAAATATACTGCAAAGCTGCAGGTTCTTTTCGGTTTTCTAATGCAAGAACAAAATCCAGGTAGGTCTTATAGTCCTGTAGAAAAGAAAGTGTTCTTTAGAGGCCATATTTGGAATTAGCTTTTCAAGTGAGTATCTAATAATTTGAAGCTATTTTGCAATTAAAGGTGGCAATTTTTAAAAATATATGACAAATCCACTTGTATACTTAATGTTGTTTTCTAGGAATTCTATGCAACAGTTAATCTGTACAGGACAGTTTTGGGGACACAGTTAATTTTTTATGAGAAGAGATTTTCTGTGTTAAACCATAGTTTTCTTTTATCATGCTTTTAAAGTGGACAGGACAGTGACTAAGCTGTTGTACATTGCCAGTAAATTTATATAATCATTTCAGTGTGGTCATTTTGGGGAAAAAAAAAAAAAATGACCTGGAATGAATAGAACAGAATATTTAAATGGCTGTTTTGATATATTGTTTAAAGTTTTAAATCTAGTCACAGATTACTATTTCTGTATAGTGAAAGGAAGTAAAATACTTGGGAAAGTCTCACTTAGAAATTGACATTCTTGGAAAAGATTTTTTTAGGCCAATATTAAGAATTCCCTTTTGCATAAATTGTAGTACAAAGAGCTAGAGAGATGTAGTGGCCTTATCATACTCCAAGTGTAGTCATAGCTTCTGATTTCCTTTATTCACCAGAAGTCATTAGTAAAGCTTCTCACTGTCAACTGTAGACAGCTGTGGGAACCACCAAACAGTTTCTGTGCCTTCCCCCCAACTCTGCCCTTTTCCTTTGCAGTTGGCTAACAATGGCGTTATCTAGAAAACTGCCATTAAAGCTAAGTGATAAAACCTAGAACCCCAATTCTCTTCTGACAGTATGATCATTTCTTAAGCATTATTTGTTTGGAAAATTTATCACATCTTTAACACGTACTTTTAATAGCAAGAATTGTAATTTTGAAATACTATTATAATTTTATTCTCAAGTATTTCGCAACATGTACACATCAGTCAATCTTTTTAGCTACTAATATAGCCACTTACGGAGAGTAATACAACCTGACTCTTAGACTGAAACCACAGCATATGTGGCTCTGGCTGGGTGGTTCAGTTGGTTGGAGCGTCATCCCATACACCAAAAGGCTGTGGGTTTGATTCCCAGTCAGGGCAGAAATTCAGGTTGCAGATTCAATCACAGTTGGGATGTGGAAGGCAACCAATTGATGTCTCTCTCTCACATCGATGTATTTCTTTCTCTTCCTGTCCCACCCCCCCACCCCACCTCCCGTCTGAAATCAATAAGCATATCCTCGAGTGAGGATTAAAAAATAAATCATAGCATATGTGGTATTATGTCTGACCTAGTAATGTATTTAATGGATGAACCATGTATATGAAAACAGTCAATAGGATTTACCAATTTTTCAGATTTTTATTTTACCTACTTCACAGTCCTTTACAATAGGTACACTGACAATGAAGTGAACAAAATATTAAAATTTTCCATTTGCCTTGAATCCATAAGGCAAATCATGTTGTAAATCAAATTTACCTTAAGATTAAAGTCTCCAAATTTCAAATACTTTGATCATTTCATACATTTTAAGATACCATTACACACTGGTATTAAAAAATGCTGTATCACATCAAGAAAAAGGCTTCTGAAAATTATGGGAACCCAAATTTTTAAAGCTTGTCAGATTTGAACTACTACCATTTCTCCATCATAAGTGAGACACTCCTGGAAAACACGGTCTAAGAAGACGTTGGTCATGGTTGCCGTCCCATAGCGGGAGAGCTCTTCTTTACTGAGCATGCCATTGTGATCCTTATCAAGATTCAAATACTGGCCTTGAGGAGAAAGACAATAAAAAGACACTTGTGACCAAATAAAATTCTAATTAAATACAAAAGAATAATCACTAACAAAAAGTTTTTTGCTTGTAGCCCTGGCTGGTGTAGCTCAGTGGATTGAGTGCGGGCTACGAACCAAAGCATCGCAGGTTTGATTCCCAGTCAGGGCACATGCCTGGGTTGTGGGCCAGGTCCCCAGTGGGGCCACGTGAGAGGCAACCACACATTGATGTTTCTCTCTTTCTCTCTCCCTTCCCCTCTCTAGAAATAAATAAGTAAAATCTAAAAAAAGTTTTTTACTTGTTAATATTTTGATTTTCAAATTATGTTACACTAAGGGTAGTGCCCTAACATCATCTATCTCTGCACTCTCTATCAAAACAACTGTTAAGCCAGAACCAGTCAAAGAAAACCCATTTCAAAGGCCATGGAATTTGGGCTCTTTTCCTTACATCATTATTTGTTTTCAGTATGCAACCTTTTAGAACTTCCTCAGATTCTAAATTAGGTGCTGGGAGAGGTCAACAAAAAGTACTGAAGTGCTGGCACTTGAAAGCAGAGGTCAAGAATGCCAAAATAAGTCAAGACCACCCAACAGAACAATGTAACAAACTAATGAAATTTAAGAAAACTGGAAACCAGGCCCTAGAATACCTCCCTCTGGGGACCCTAAGGGCAGCACTTCATCACAATGGAAGACCATGGTTGATGTTCATAATGCTTCTGAATCAAAAAGGGTCAAATTACATTCTGTATGTTCTACTAAAGAGAAAGTAATAACTTAAAACACTACAAAAATTTTAAATATTGGTATTTAAAAACAACTAAATTTTAGTATTTTAGTAATCTAGAATACTAAATCTTAAGGTAATTAGAATACTGGGAATGTTAAGATAAATTAGCTTATGTATAAAAATGTCCTTTGAATACCAATTAACTAAGGAATGGGCAGTTCAAATGTTGGCGTTAGTACAGTGACATACCATATACCCTGAGGGCAGAAGGAGCAGAAAACCAATTTGTTTCTTGACTCTCCTTGGACAGTTCCTCATCCCTTAGCTAAATGAACACAGAGACAGTTAGAAGATAACAACTGTCAAATGATGTAATTTAAACGTAGTTTTAAAAGCATATTTACCTCCAATAAATCATCTAGGAAGCTGCATGCTAAAATATCTTGAATTTTTATCTTCCCTTTAAAAAACAAAAAAATACAGTTACTTAATGCATTTTAAAAACGAGCAACTCAATTTTATATAGTATTATTTTACAGGAACAGTCACACAATTGATATTTTAAAGCTTCTTAGTTCTTATGCTCTAACATCTTTATTATATATTGTTATAAAAAGGGAAATGTGGGGGAATATTTAACAGTTTCTACCTCATATGGCTACCTGTATACCCCCAACTACATAAATCCAATTGGTATATTCTTTCCCAAATTACACTGATATCAGATTCTCCAAAAACTTGTTCTGAGTATTTTGTGGAAATGAAAAGGATGCAGCTAGTAATCAAACAAGGAGACTATCTCCATTTTTCTTTGGCAGGTTCTGGAATAGGAGTAATACAGAGGCATGGTTAAAAGTAGACAGACTGGAATATAAATGCCACTTCACACATAAAATGTGGATAAAAGTAATACCTTCCATTTAAGGTTATGGGAAGGAAATGAAAGAATCAATGTATAATGCTTAGCATAGTACCTGGTAGGTAACAGTTAAAACTGTTAGTTTGAAGGGAAAAGATGCGTATGTACCTATAATGGAGGTGTTTTAAAAAAAAGATTGTCAGCTACCACATACTGTGCTAGACTCATAGCTAGATTTTCCAGGACAAGATCCTCAAGGACTTTGATGTGGGCCTCATGTCTATCCCTTCCTCTGCCCCACTTATATGTATTTCAGTCTCAATAGGTTAGAACAGTTGATAAAATTTACTGTTAATGAGGCCAAATTTGTTAATCTGATACTCATATAGGATAAAGTGAGAAAAAGAAAAATACATTATGGCTAAATGGTTCCATTCTCCCAATTCATATATTTCAACAAAAAGCATAACTCTCAAATATATTACATATCAGGATAGCAACTTGTATCAGAATAACTGGCTTCTTAGCACTGGAAACAGCCATAGATTTCCCAGTCCATACTTCATTCTAGAGATTAAGAAACGATCAGAGGTTTGGAGACATGCACACTGTCACCCAGCCGGTGACAGCTGGTGCAAGTAAAAAAAGATCTTTATATATTAATGGCAATAACATATTAGAAAAAAATGACATTTCAAGACTTTTTTCTAGTTACTGAGATTTAAAAGTAATACTATTTTTATAATATCTAAGATAGATTTTCTTTTACCTGTTCTTAGAGGGTCTAAAAAGAAGAAGAATTTCCTAACAGCTGTACAAACATAAAAGGAATAAAAAGATTTTTCCAGTCCATCTAATTGTGGCAAAGTAGGGATAAGTTCCAATATGTAGTTTTCTAAATCCTGAAAGAAGAAAACAAAACTTTAAAGTGTTAAATGTCTGATCTTGTTTCTTCATTAGCTACTGCAATATAATTTCAGTCCTAAAAATTATTCAATATTAATACTATATTAATGATGTAATAAATTCATAACTAGCTTAGTGGTGAAACTTTTATATTAAATTTGTTTCTACTAATTTACTTTTTCATTTTTTAATTAAATATTTTATTGTTATTCTAGCCCTGGCTGGTGTAGTTCAGTGGATTGAGCGTAGGCTGCGAACCAAAGCATCGCAGGTTCGACTCCCAGTCAGGGCACATGCCTGGGTTGCAGGCCAGGTCCCCAGTGGGAGCCACATAAGAGGCAACCACACATTGATGTTTCTCTCCCTCTCTTTCTCCCTCCCTTCCCTCTCTAAAAATAAATAAATAAAATCTTTAAAAAAATATTTTATTGTCATTCTATTTTAGTTGTCCCAAATTTTCCCCCTTTGCCCTCCTCTGCCCAGCCCACCCCCTGCTTCCACAGTCCATCCCCACACTGTTGTCCGTGTCCATGGGTCATTCATACATGTTATTCGTCTAGTCCTTTCCCCTTCTTTCCACTCTTACCCTCCTTCTCCTTCCCCTCTGGTTGCTGTCAGTCGGTTCCTTGTTTCCATGCCTCTGGTTCTATTTTGCTAGTTAGTTAATTTTGTTCATTAGGTTCCACTTATAGGTAAGATCATGTTATTTGTCTTTCACATCTACTAATTTACTTTTTATTTAAATATTAAAATATTTTTAATAGTGATACATTCTGCAGTTCCCAATTCAAAAGAAATGAAAAAGTTTTCATTGAAAAGTCTCTCTCTTACAAGTCTGCTCTGTCCAGACATAGCCTACATTATCAGCTTCCGATGCACACACAAGCCTATAAATACATACGTATAATTTCCCTTACTCTTTTATACAGAATATAGCAGCACACTATGCACATTCTTCTGTATCTTGCTTTTATGACTTAACATACTTTGTAGTCATTCCACATTGGCTCTCAGAGAGCTTCTATTTAAAAAAAAATAGCTATGTATTGTTTCAGATATACCATAATCTATTTAGTCTTCTACTGATGGACCTTTAGGTTGTTTCTAATCTTTTGCAACACTAAAACAATACTATAGTGGCTAAGCAAAATTTTCATTCATAAATATGGGAGAATAATAGGATATTGTTTCCGTAAGTGGAATTGCTGGGTCAAAATATGTGCACATTTATAATTTGATAGACACTGGTAAACTGCCCACCTCCACATAAAGGCCACATCCATTTTATACTCCCACCATTGTTAACACAGCAATGTGAGGGCTGTATTAACAGTTCCCAAATCATGCCCCAGGAGTGCTACACAAGGCTGCAGCAGGATATTTTAAATTTTCGTGGGAAACATAACATCTGTCAGACACTGCATGAGCTTTGGCTCAAGGCAGTTAACATTTGCACCATAGTTTAAAATATACATTCCTTTTGATGACATCAATCTTAGCAAAGCTAGGTTCTTTGTGGTTGCTGTAATAAAGCAAGTGCCACAAGAAAATTAAGTGTGAAAGAGTAATTGAGGGTGACTGTGCAACCTAATTCCCAGGGTGAGTCATCGTATAGTGCCTCCTAGGCATACACATTCCATGAAAATATACTTTTTAATTTAAGAGTATTATTTTTTCAAATGGCTAACAGAATAAATTTAATGAATACTTTCATTAAATTGTTTGAACCTCACTGGTTAATAAATGGAACTTAAGTATTTCTTTTGGCCTAGAAGCACTATTCAAAAACTATTGAGGGAACTTCCAGTCAAGATCACAGCTTAGGCAGACACTGTTCACCCCATCATACAACCACTTTAAAGTTACAACTAAAATGTAGAACCACCATCACTCAAAACCACCAGAAATTCAGTTGAATGGAAGTCTGGCAATTATGGAATTAAACCACATCTGTGGAATGGTTGCAAAGGTTAACACCAGGGCCTGCGCAACCAGTAGACAGCTATAGACCTCGTCAAGAGTACCACCACCCCACCCCTGCACACCTGATCCTTCATGGAATGTGGAGGTTGGTGGTCAGTGGTCACAGCCAATATTTGCAGCTGACTGGCCTGGGTAAATCCCTTCCATGGATCTGCCAACAGCAACCAAGGCTCAACTACAAGAGGAGGGTGAATTCAGCACCCACAAAGGAAGCACACTGAGTACGCAGCTTGGGTGGTAGGGAGGTAGTGCCACTGGACCCTACAGGACACCTACTACATTAGGCCACACTACCAAGACATGGAGTCAAAACAGCTCTACCTAATTCACAGAAACAAACACAGGGAGACTGCCAAAATGAGGAGAAAAAGCAACATGGCTCAAATGAAAGAACAGATCAAAACTCCTGAAAAAGCTAAATGAAATGGAGATGAACAATGTATCCGAGGTAGAGTTCAAAACACTGGTAATAAGGATGCTCAAGGAACTCAGTGAGGACCTCAACAGCATAAAAAAGATCCAGTCAGAAATGAAGGATACACTAACTGAAATAAAGAACAATTTACAGGGAAACAACCATAGAGTGGATGAAGCCAAGATCCAAATCAATGATTTGGAACATAAGGAAGGAAAAAATAACCAATCAGAACAACCAGAAGAACAAAGAATAAAAAAAAATGAGGATAGTATAAGCAGCCTCTGGGACAGCTTCAAACATTCCAACATGTGACTCACAGGGGTGCCAAAACGAGAAGAGAAAGAGCAAGAAATTGGAAATCTATTTGAAGAAATAAAACAAAACTTCTCTTATCTGATGAAGGAAATAAACTTGCAAGTCCAGGAAGCACAGAGTCCCAAATAAGATAGATGCAAAGAAGTCCACTCCAAGAACCATCATAATTAAAATGTCAAAGGTTAAAGATAAACAGAGAATCTTAAAAGCAGCAAGACAAAAGAAGTTAGTTACCTACAGGGGAGTTCCCATAAATAACAACGTCAGCTAATTTCTCAAAAGCAACTTTGCAGGCTAGAAGGGATTGGCAAGAAATATTCCAAGTCATGAAAAGCAGGGACTTACTACCAAGATTGCTCTACTCAGCAAAGCTATCATTTAAAATTGAAGGGCAGATAAGAGCTTGCCAGACAAGAAAAAAGAATTTCATCATCACAAAACCATTATTATATGAAATGTTAAAGAGACTTATTTAAGAAAAAGATCAAAACTATGAACAAAATGGCAAAAAAATACAAACCTATCAATAATTGAATCTAAAAAACGAACTAAGCAAACAAGAAAAACAGAGACAGAATCCTGGATACAGTGAGCATTTTGTTGGTTGCCAGATGGGAGGGGGGAAATGGGTGAAGAGGTGAGGGGATTAAGAAGTACAGATAGGTAGTTACAGAATAGCCATGGGGATGTAAAGTATAGTATAGGAAAGCAAGTAGCCCAAGAACTGTATGCATGACCCATGGACATGAACAATGGTGGGGGGATTGTCTGAGTGAGTAGTGGGTGGAATGGGGAAAAGGGAGAAAAATCAGGACAATTGTAATAGCACAGTTAATAGAATATAATTTTTTAAAAAGCCATTGAGGCAATAGGAGTGCTGTGAAGTGAAAAAGTTTTAGAAACTGTGGCCTATTTTACATTCCTTCATTTAAAGCATTATCAAACTGTTTGAGTTTGTCAATCCGATATATGAAAAGTGGCATTTTAAATAGACCTACTTGACATTTTTCTTATTATGTGAAGTTAAGATTTTTTTCTTGTGATTAAGAATCATTTGTATATTGCTTTCTTCAAAATACACTCCTTTGCCCAGTTTTGCTTTGGTTTAGGAGTCATTTTCTTCTGATGTCTAGGAGCTTTTTATACATTAAGATAATTAATTGGCTATTTGTCTATGACTGAGTTTCAGGTATTCTTCTCAATTTGTTTTGTTAGCTTTGTTTATTATAGCCTACAGGTTTTATCTATTTATATCTTCACTGAGTCTATGGGTTTTTTAAAATTAAGTTGAATTTATTGTTGCTTATACTGACTTTTGTCATATTTAGAAAGGCTTTCCTATTCCAAGATTCTATATTTAAAACCTCTCAATTTTTATCCTTATTGTAATAATTTTGTTACTTTTGCTTTAGCTATTGTAAAGTATAATTTTTCTACTTCATCAGAGATACTTTATAATTTAAGTTGTCGAACAGATGGCATCTCAAACTTGGTGTGTCTGAAATGGGACTCTTACCATCCCCAACCCTAATCCTCACCCATTTTCCCCTATTCTGACAGTCATTCAAAACAAAATTTGTAAACTCATCTTTGGTTCCTACCTTTCCTTCACTAAGGATCCTATTCCTTACCTCCAGTGTCTAATCCAGTAGCAAATTTTGGGGGGTGTGTGTGTGTGTCCAGGATACATATTAAATTAATCCATTACTAGCTTTTTTCTACAGCCATCACACTGGTCTCGGTGCCACTGTCCCTCACCTGGACTACTGCAGTTGCCTGGCTATTCTTCTGTTCACTCTATCCTTACAACCTGTTCTCCACACAACACCCACAGCTATCTGTTCACATGTAAATCATATTCTAACAGATTCAGCTTAAAACTTCTAAGGGCATCCCATTAGTGTCAAAATGAAAACCTAACTCCTTACCATGGTCCCAAAAGGCCCTGTACGTGGTCCTGGCCTACTTCTCCAGCTTCATCTCCTGTCACTCTAACTATATTGCTCATATGCTCTGTTCACACTGACTCCCTCCTGTACCTAGAACAGGCCAGCTTTAACTTTGCCTTGGGGGCACTGACCTTACTGTCCCCGCTTTACTACATTTTCATAATCCTTCACCACTGCTAAAATTCAATCACTACTTCAAAGAAGCAGCCCTTTCATCTTATCTAAAATAGCCCCCCAACCTTAGTCATACTCTTTCCCAGTCTCTATTTTTCTCTGTAGAATGTGTCATTATTTGAAATTATCTTGCTTATAATTTACTGTCTGCTTCCCCAATCTGCTAGAAAAAAGTTCCATATGAGTAAGGCTTAGAATAGTACTTGGCACTAATTTTTTGGTAAGTGCTTAAGATTTAGTAAGTGAATGAAAGTTTGCCTATGCTACTCAAATTACAGATGTTGGCTCTGGAAACCACTGTCTTAAGGAAGACACAAAGTCTGGTTTCACATAGCAAAGTGCCCAGAGTAGAAGAAATATTCTTTTCTTTAAAAGAAGGAAAATGACTCCCCCCCTTTTTAAAAAAATATTTATTTATTTTTTAAAGAAAAGGGAAGAAGTGAGGGAGAGAAATGTAGATGTGCAAGAGAAACCCATTGGTTGCCTCTTGCACACCCCTAACTGGGGACCTAACCTGCAACTCAGGCATGTGCCCTGGCTGGGAATTGAACTGGCAAACTTTCTGTTTGCTGGATGACGCCCAACCCATGGAGTCACACCAGTCAGGGTGAAAATTATTCCCTTTTAAACACAACTAGAGATATTGGTGCTTTCCTCTCCCCTTCCTTTATCCCTTTTTCAATTTTTGTTTCCATTCATGGAAAGAGGCAAGAAAAAAGGAAGTATGCCTTGTAACCAACTAACTGCTGACAAGATTTCTCAGAGCTACTCCAATATGTGATCTGAGTAAGTATCAACAGGTGGCTAATATGTCTTCCTTGCTATAGAGAAACAGATATAAGCAAGAACCTTTTATTGTCACGTTGATCTGAACCTTAAAGTTCAAGAATTGTACTGTGTCCCTAAAAAGTTTTTTTCAAATCCTCATCTAAGGACATGCTTATTGATTTTAGAGAGATTTCTCCTCTCTAAAAGGAGGGGGAGAGGGAGAGAAATATCAACGAGAGAGAAACATCCACTGGTTGCCTCTCACACTTGCCCTAACAGGGGAATAAGCCTGCAACCTAGGCATGGGACCTGACTGGGAATGGAACCCATGACCTTTCAGTTTACTGGATGATGCTCCAGCTGACTGAGCTATACCAACCAGGGCTGTTCATTAATTTTAGAGAAAGGAGAATGGAGGGAGAGAGAGGAGAGAAACATCAATGTGAGAGAGAAACATCAATGTGAGAGAGAAACATCAATCAGTTGTTTCTTGTACATGCCCCAACCTGGCACCTAACCTACAACCTAGGCATGTGTCCTGACTGGAAATAGAACCCATGACCCTCTATTTTCCTGGACAATGATCCAACCAGCTGAGCCACACTGGCCAGGGCCCTAGAAAGGTTTTTAAGTGTTAATCTTCAGTATGATCTAACATTCTCTCTACATAAATGTGGATAAAACAGACTGTAACAAATTATAACAGGAGACAATCTATAACGGAATGTTTTTAAATCTTCTATATGAATATTTATTGAAGTGATTAATTAACTTGGTTCATATTTATGCTTAATTCCCTTACCCTTTTCCTGGCAACACTAAAAAGCACTCCATATCTGGGGGGGAAAGCCTGAGCTGAAAAGAAGAATGTCTATATAATTTAGATACCTACACTTACAGGAAGCATAGCCATTTGTATCATGAGATTATGATTGTTGATAACCTGGCCTTATACATTAATACCTAATAGAAAATAAACAGCCTCTTGATAACTGATGTTATAACCCAAACCCATAGGCAGGGAAACAGTCACATTCTTTTTCTCTTTTATATTTCCTAAAAGAGGAAACCTTCCTGGCTCTTACATTTTAAAACAGTCACACACTGACAACACTCATGAATAACCAAAAATTCTCCAATATTTCTTCAATGATTTTAATCCTATTAAAGCACTACATTCTTCTTATTTTCTCCTGTAAAAAGCTTTTACAGGAATTTTTGTGGTCAATATATATTTTAAAAGTTTTTCAGTAACACATTATTTGTAAAAACAAACAAAAGCAGAGAAACAACAAAAAAAATCATGTGTAATTCCAACACCCAGTGATAACTACTGTTAACATTTTGATGTCTATAATAATAAAGTAGATTATACTTACAGATTCCCGAAGATATCCTTGTCCTGCTACATCATATAAACTGAGTCCTATTCTTGTCTGATGAAGCCAAACTGAGAATAAACAAGAAAATAAGATGTATTAAGAGCTATCCCTTTAGCATATATATGGACGAAGGGAGATAAAGAACTAGATTAAAGGGACAAGCTAGTAACTCTATGATCATCTTTATTCTCACACATATTACTTATTTGTTAACCCCCAAATTGTATGAAAACAAAACATACCATAGAATTAATGGCAAATATCAACAATTCTGCCATGCCTAAAATGACAATAAAGTTGATGTCCTTGAGGATATTGTTCTTATTAAACTTGGTGTTCCACCAAATAGGGACAGTGAGTGTAATGTTGTTTTCAACGAGCTGCTTTTATTCTACTGAGGTTAATTACTGCAACCAAATATTAGTTGAAGATGGTACACACAGGACTTCACAGGTCATTACAGAACTTACAGGAATCATAACAACTCCTAGTTAGTAAAAACTCCTTGAATCTGATGCTATAGTTGTGAGTTTGAAACTATCAGACATCTTAACCCGTAAGATAGTGGTGAGATAAAATGGCCAATGAATTAAAATTATTTCAAAACACCATACATTAAAAGTCTTCGTTCAGCTTTTGATATATCTGGTTAGCTAGTAATTTTAGGATATGTGAAGTTTTTGTTTCTTTTCTAAAATGATGAAATCAAATTTATGGTAGAAAATCTCAGCTCTAATAAGTTTCAAGAGAAAATCATAATAGGTAAAAAAATATTGGTCAAAAGACGAGAAACTTTACTATTTAAAGTTATGAAGAGATGTTTCAAATGGAAGGGATACTACAAAAACATAGATCAAAAACCCACTTGATTCCCAGATAGAAGGACCACAATGAAAATGAAATCACCTTTTCTCATGACATAATTAAAGAACTGCATGATGGAAATTCTTCCATAAGAATCTGTATGAAGGAGTTTAGCAAAGACTTTTGCTGTGAAAAATTGCCTAAAGAAAGGAAATAAAGATTAAAATCTGTCAACGTAACATAAAAATGACTTCTATATGAGTTAGCAAACAACAGCATAAATTCAAACAAGTAAAAACCAAAGTGGTGAAAAAAATCAGAACTACAGTTCAAAAATATTGTCATATGTCTTTGCATCCTATTGTCTTAAGAACAAAGGCCTGTAGTGTTATAAATCATACTTCTTTTAATAACTTTGTACCAATGTAACTTTCTTTCCTAATTTTGTTAAACTTCATTAACTGAAAATTGACGCAAATTGTCATACTACTGACTTAAATTTTCATTAACATTTATTTGAGGCATCTAAAATGCTTAATGTAGCCCTAACTGGTATGGCTTGGTTGACCATTGTCCCTCAAAGCAAAAGGCTGCAGGTTCTATTCCCAGTCAGGGCACATGCTTGGGTTGTGGGTTTGGTGCCCAGTTGGGGGTGTATACAGGAGGCAACCAATCAATGTATCTCTCACACACTGATGTTTCTCACCCTTTTTTCCTCCCTTTCTTCCCCTCTCTCTAAAAAAAGTAAATTAAATGTTAAAATGCTTAATGTAACATATTCCTTTATTAAGCACATTATTCTTACTTGCACTTTGGTCCAGCTTTTTCACCAACCTTCAAAAAATTTTCATAATTAATCATTGCTTCCTCTCCAATCATGGGTGGTGTCTGGTGCTTGTCCAGCAAAAACCATAAGTTCTTAGAAGAAATGCAGCATTTAAGATGTTACAATTAATAGAACAAAATTTAAAAATGTAGTCAAATATGTAATTTACATTACAATTATAGTCTGATAGCAGAGTTAATATTAAGATGAATCTCATCCCCTATTATCCTTTTGATTAATAACATCACAAAAAAATAGACATATATGGTATCTCTTTAATCTATACATATATTTATACTTATTTATATATATATATATATATACTATTATGCCTACTTTACAGATGAAAACTGAAGCACAGAAATGTTAAGTCCATTGCCCAAGATCACAGAGCAAGGCTGGGATTTGAACCCCTGCAGTTTGACCCTACAGTAGTGAGTTGAGTGGTTCTCAACTTTGGATTCCCTTTGGAATCACCTAGGGACTTTAAAAAACAAAACTATCCTAGGAGACAGGCCCACACAAGCTCTGCAGCTGATTCTGCTGGGAACCATCTCTCAAGAGCTGGTGCTTTTACCCACTGTGCTGGCACCTCTACGTTAAGGCGCCTTGACATCCTGTATGACTAGGTATTGGTAGTACAAACAAGAAATGGCTAACATCCCAAGCAAACTTTTATTCCATTCTTACCTGTAATTCTTCATTATCTAAGAGTTCTCTGCTCTTCCTCTGCAGAAAGACCGCTCTGGATTCCTCTCTTAATTTCTGTAATAAGACTTCATCTTCAGCTGGTAGCTAAAAATACATTGTTGAGTTAATTTCTACATTTAAATTCTAGTCTACTGGATTGAGTATTAAGTAAAATGTATTTAGGCTCATAAAATAACTGTATTCTGCTGCCTCAAATTACTTTTTGTACCTCAATTTTGCTTCAAGTCATCATCCCTTTAAAAAGTTCATTTAATAAGAGATCCAGAGATCAGTGACCAAAAGACCTGACCCCCTACCCAGAACAGCTAATAGCGTATGTAGCCCAAGTTCACTTTGTGTTCTTAGAGCACTGCTTCCACTGTAACCTTAGACTAATATGGAATTAAACTAGGACTATATGAAGATCGACAGGGGTTTAAACCCCAGCCCTGCTCTGGGAAGGTTATATCTTACATTTATATATTTCTTTCATTCTAGTTCATCTTATTATTTTGGAGCTGATAAAATTCTGAGTTTTCATGTAAATTGGCATAAGAACCCAAAGTTCCCCTTCTTTTTGAGTTATAGGCTTTTCTCTCTAATTTTTATTAGTAGTGGTGGTTATGCTATTGCATTATGTTTTCAGGCTTTTTATTAGATATAAACTTCAATTTATTTGTAAAATATTCTTATCTCATTAAAAAAATCGCATTTTACTTATAAACTCTGCAAGACATTTGCTTATATACCACTTACCCTATAATAAAACCGGGGAATGGTCTTATAGAATTCATTTGTGTTTCTTCTACCTCCTTTCCATTCTGAATAGTATTTGGTAAATAAATCCATTTCTTCATCTTTTAATTCTTGTTCACTTTTTTTTTCTGGTAGCAAAATAGATTAAGGGGAAAAAAGCACTTTTATTTATTTATTTTTTATTATATTTTATTGATTATGCTATTGTAGTTGTTCCAATTTTTCACCGTTTGCCTACCTCTACCTGGTATCCCCCATTCCCTCAAGCAATGCTCCCTTCTTACTTCGTGTCCATAGTTCATGCATATAAGTTCTCTGGCTACTCCATTTCCTATACTGTTCTTAACACCTCCATCTATTCTGTACCTACCAATTTGTACTTCTTAATCCCTGCACCTGGAAAAAAGCACTTTTAAAATCAAACAATACTTTTCTCAGGTCAGCTATCTACTACAATCTAATAACAGCCTTTAAAAAACCTTTATAGTTGTGCTTAGACACTAAACATTTATATTAACTTTCTTGAAATACCAAGAATCACTACCATACACTGAAAGAGCCTCCCCTACATGTTCAAACACTCTCAGCTGGCCCTCCACTTTTTTTTTTTCCATTGATTTTAGGGAGAGGGAGGAAGGGAAAGAGAGAGGGAGGGCGGGGGAGAGAGAGAGAGAGAGAGAGAGAGAGAGAGAGAGAGAGAGAGAGAGAGAGAAACTTCGATGTGTTTTCCCACTTACCGATGCATTCATTGGTTTTCTTATCTGTGCCCTGACCACAGACTTAACCTATTTAACCTGCAACCTTGGCTTATTGGGACAATGCTCTAACCAACTGAGCTACCCATCTAGGGCCCACTTTTTTTTTTTTTTTAATCACTGTACTCTTCTCTTCTTCAAGTCACTGCCTTTCTTATAGATATCTGGCAGGTTCTTAATTCATTCAGGCCAATCTATTTACTAAGCACCTACTACATACTGAACACTATACTAGACATTGGTGCTACAGTGGTGAGAAAACAGGCACAGCCCTTGACCTCATGGAATCTCAGCCTCATAATCACTGTGCCTCTACCTACTGCAAAATCCTTTCATCTGAAGGTCACATATCTGGACACTACCACCCTCCAATCCACCTACTGCTGGCATGTAGCTGTGTCATTTGGCCCATTCCTCCACACTTGATTATGGACCATGATGACTGGTACACAACATTTTTTACCTCAAAGTCCTGCAATCATCAAGGAAGAACAGACTTTTATGTGGGTGACCGTAACTCCTCACCTCTGAAGGCTTTCACCTCTACTGTGTCACTCAGTTCCATGGCAAGACCATAGGTCTTACTTGCTCCTCTTCTAAAATCTTAAACTCTTATATATTCTTAGATCATTTTTCTCTTCTGGTTATTCAAAACCTCACTGCCATAATACCTCCACTTCAGCCTCACTGAGATCTTCAATTCAATCGTCTGTTTCCTCAAAGGTTTATTTTCCTTTTCCTGGTCTCATTTCCTTCTCAACATGCCTGTAGTTAGTTCTTCCCCTAAACTCCTATTATGCCTGCATTTCCGCCATATGTATCATGTTAAAAATTTTTACCCTGGGACCAATCTTATAATCTATCTTTTTCTTTATCATGGTTTAATACCATGGGAGAAACTGCAAAATTTTGGCCCCACAAATTTATTTCATGGTTACTAATTACCAAGTCAGCTTTTCAAAACACCAGTACATATTTTATTTGCCCTTGATGTTCTTTGGCTTATTCCACTTGGTTAGTGACTGCTCCGAATTGTCACTAAATTCCTCAAACCTCCTCTGTGTTCACTCTCAATAGATGACAATCTCTCCCAGGTCATCAAAAGCAGAGTACTGGGCATGGATACCCATAAACATGTAAATGAAGTAGGAAAGCAGGTAGGTATCAAATCTGTACGTTACTTTCTTCAGCCAGTTTCAGGAAGAGAGGTATCCCTCCCACTTTCAGTATCTTCAATTTCATCTCTACTGGCTTTTCTTTAACTTACAAATACAGAGGTCTCACCCATCACCCCCCAAAACTCCTTCCTTTCTATCTATTGCCACACATAACTCCTTCCTTTTTTGTTCACTTTTTCAAGTGAGCGTCTATGTTGACCATTTCTGCTTTCTTACCTCTCATCCTCGCTTTATGAAATTCTGCTTCTACTCTTACCACTCACTCTATGGAAACTGTTCTTGCCAGGGCAACCAGTGACCTAGCTGCTTGTTTTATTTTATTAATTTTTAAATTAATTTTATTGGGGTGACATTAGTCAAGAAGATCATATTGGTTTCAAGTATACATTTCTGTGCTACATGATCTGTATATTATTACATTGTGTGCCCACCACCCAAAGTCAAATCATCTTCCGTCCCCATATATTTGGCCCCCTTTACCCTTTAGTATTCCCTATCCCCTTGCTTAGTTTAATGGACGCACCCATCTTTGGTTTCTGTTAAATTTGATACCGTTGATGATTCTGATGTTTTCTCAGCTTTTGTGAGGCCACACTCTGTTGATTCTACTATTTTCTGACCTTTTCTTCTTTTCTGTTAATCGTCTTCCTCTATCATTTCAACTTTTATAGTTTACTTTCTAAGTCCCAAACCTGTATTACTTCAATGTTAAGTTGTTGGGGAGAAAAAGAAGAAAACGCAAAGACTAAAATGGGATGACTGGTGAGGCAGGAGAAAAACTTAAGAGTATATCTCTCAGAAACCAAGAAAAAGAAGTATGTATAAGAGGAGAGCTATAAGGGGAGCAGAGAAATGAGGCAGAGCTGGATGTGGAAGTTAAGACAAGAATCTCTTTAAGAGTTTCTTTAAGACGGGAGAAATATCACCATGTTCATATGCTCATGGGAATGACTGAGAAAGAAAAACTGATGATGCATGAGAGAGGGGACATTTCCTTGAGTAGGCAAAAATGGGATCCAACACACAGGAGGATCTAGCACACCAGTGAAAGAAACAACCTTAAATAGAAGTTGTACACACCTATATGATTTACTTATCATCTCTTCCAGCACTGAAGTGTAAGTTCTACAAGAAAAAGGGTTTTTGTGGTTTTTTTTTTTACTGCTGTAGCCTGGAAGAGTACTTGGTACATAACAGACATGCAATGAAGTTGGTTTTAAGAGTGAAGGGAAGGAGAAAGCACAAATACAGATAGCTTTTTCAAGATGTTTTCCTATAAAGGGTGCAGAGAAACATAGCTAAAGCTGGAGGGGCATATGACATCCAATGATTTTTTTTTAAGATAGGGGATATTACAGCATGTTTGTTAGAGCTGATGGAAACGATCCAGTAGATAAGGAAAGTTTGAGGATAATAATGAGAAAGGATAAGGCCAGAGTGAAGTCAGTGAATAAAAGGGGACACAATCTAGTGTTGAAATGGAAGGACTGTCTCGAAAAGGAGCATAGGCAGTCCCCCATTTTTTAAAAAAGATTTTTTATTTATTTATTTTTAGAAAGAGAGGAAGGGAGGGAGAAAGAGAGGGAGAGAAGCATCAACGTGTGGTTGCCTCTCACCTGCCCTACACTGGGGACCTGGCCCGCAACCCAAGCATGCTCCCTGGCTGGGAATCAAACCAGCAACCATTTGGTTTGTAGCCTGGCACTCAATCCACGGAGCCACACCATTTTAACTCCATTTTAACTATGGAGTTAAGGGACTGATAGAAATGGTAAATGGGAACAGGTGAGGTTCTTCGATTGCTTCTCCTTTCTCAAATATCTATGTATATAAGTTCATCACCTAAAGGTAAGCAGTAGGTAGGCGATATTGGAAGATTGGAGGTTTGGGAGATGAGAACTGCTTTAGAGTGCAGGAGAGTGAATGTGTAGGGAAATACTGAAGTGTAAGTGAATGACTGAAACACCTACTTTAGATTAAGGAACATGAATTAGAAGTGAGACAATGCGCCATGTTCCATTTTTTTCCAGCCATTTTCAGCTGCCCTGGTGAAGGTGAGAAACAATAAAGATAGTTTTAACCAGGCTGGTTAACAAGCAAGTGTGAAGGAGGGGGCAAGGACAAAGAAAAATGGATTATGCAATCTGAAATGGATAAGGAGGGAAATGAAAAATGATGGTAAAAAGGTGGTAGTATCAATGGATTCTAGATTGTGGTAGGATCCAAGAATTGTTGGAGACAGGGTTCTCATTCCTCACAAGTCTTAGGTTAAAACTGTGTGCTTCTCATTCCCGCAAATCCTTTCCCAGGGAACTATGGATCATACCTCTCTGGATCTCTAAACCACATTCCTTCCACTCTGCCTGCTTAGTCAGGCGAGTTTTTACAGAACCGGAAAGCGCGACTCCGAGTTGCTGCTCCACCCATTCTGTCCCCACCACTAGGAGTTTAGGGCCGGGCTATCTCAGCGGGCGGCCCCTCCCAAACTCACTGTTTGGAACGATGTTGGACATCGCGATCCGCCGGCGAAGAACTTCTTTCCAGTCCATGAATGACTCCCGCGAAGCAGCCCTGGCATATGCTCACCACTACACCCGCCGCTAGCTCAGAAGTCACACACCACCTAACCTCGGAAAGACCGGGAAGGCTGCTCAACCGCCATCTTGGACACTGGCGGAAGCCGGCTAGGGAAGCAAAAACGATTAATGTAGTCGCTGCTAATGTAATCACTGCGTAGAATATGGAAATCGCACTAACAGCCGGGGAAGCAGATGCGAAAGAGATGGAAAATGGTATCCTTAAGGCAGCTTCCCAATTTTACAATGGAGATTTTAAAAGGCAGGATAAGGGAGTCCTTACTTTTATTTCATCTTGGGCCTTTGACGCGTGGGCACCACGTGACTCAGGAATCCTTTGACATTTCCTTGCGAATAACTGCAGGCCCTAAAGATTCCCCTGAAAGTAACAGACACGTTCAATACTGCCGGTCAGCACTGTCTGCCATTCAAGCCTTCAAAATCGCCTTTCTCTCGCCTCCGAGCTTTTATCCAGGTCAGCCACGCCCTCAAGGCCGGGTCGTCGCGGTGCATTGTGGGCGCGGTAGTTTCTGCCGCAGTTATGGTTGCCTTAATAAAGCGTGAGTGCTCCGGTGAGTTGTTGAGTGAGGTGAACTTGGTTTGTGATCGATCAGTGTGCTGTAAGCAGTGCCCTTTGAAGACATTCCTTCCTTCCCTGAGTTATTCGCTCGGCTCTCTCCCCACCTATCCCAACCCATTTCCTCTGACGAGTTCGGCAGTCTGTGGACAGTCGTTTTGCAGGGCCAGGGCCCCTAGACTTTGGCTTTCCCCACTTTCCTTGCTGGGTGTGGGGCTGGGGGCTCTTCGTCGCGGTTTTCGACTTTACGCCCCTTCTTTAGCAAGGCACCCATGGGATCCTGCCCCTTGTCAAGGACGGTTGTGATCCACGTGAGTCGAATTGCGTGGTCCTCCTTGTGCTTTTTCCTCAGGTTCGCGGACTGGAATATAACAGGCATCAGAGATTCCTGCTCTGTCCCCTGCTCGTTCTCCGGAATGCGATCTAGGTTGGTTGTCCCAGGATCGTCGTTGTTTAGTGGAGAAAAGTCGCCGGATTTCGTTGCTTAAGTAGCCCTAAAAGCATAGCCTTGAGTTTTCTGCGAGAAACTGAAAATCATCTTTTAAGAGGTTGCGCTTCGACTCCCTGCTTCCCCCGCCCCCCCCAAATTCCTTGATTATGGTGTAAAGTAGGGCTTTTTGAACATCTCTTCACTATTTTGTGCTGATCTCACTGCATAATGACTTTCTGTTTTACTGGTATTCGAAGCTTCCCTAAGCTTTGGAAAAACAATCCATACCTCGGGCTAGGCCCAGGGCACTCTTATAACTCTCTCTTTTTGAAAGACTGTTATGGCATCAGGAACCAGCAGAAGTTGTTTTCCCTTCAAACAGCATCTCCACAAAATACCAAGGCAATAAATCTTCTAAGTGTGAAGGCCAGATACCGCAGGAAAGGCAGCAGTGAAATTTCTTCTGAGTTTCCTCATCTTTTTGCAGCTGGAGCAGCTAAGAAGAGATCACAGATGAATCCTCAGAGTAAAGATCATGCCTTGCCACCTGTGAGCAACATTATTCAACTCCCAACAAAACCTTTGAATTCAGAGCAGTGGGATAAACTTAAGGAAGATTTCAAAGGAAAAGCTAATTTTGAAAATTGGATCATTTCACAGATGGCTCAACACAATAGCTCTGTAGATGTGGCCAAATCTTTGCTGGCCTGGGTAGCTACAAAAAACAATGGTATTGTAAGCTATAATTTGCTGGTCAAGTATTTGTATCTCTGTGTTTTTCATAAGCAGACATCAGAAGTTTTTGATGTCTATGAAATTATGAAAGCCAGATACAAGAGTTTAGAATCTGGAGCAAACACTCTTCTCATCCGGGGATTAATCCATTCAGACAGATGGAGAGAGGCCTTGGTGCTGTTAGAAGACATCAAAAAGGTCATGACCCCTTCAAAAAAGAACTATAATGACTGTATCCAGGGAGCTCTCCTTCATCAAGATGTAAACATAGCTTGGAATTTGCATGAGGAATTGTTAAGTCATGGTCTTGTTCCTATGATGGAAACTTTAAAAGCCTTTTTTGATTTGGGAAAAGACATAAAAGATGATCAATATTCAAACAAACTACTAGACATTCTTTTGTATCTAAGAAATAATCAGCTGTATCCTGGGGAATCGTTTGCACACAGTATAAAAACATGGTTTGAGAGGTAATTTTGATCTTTCTTTTTATGTATGTTTTTATTTTAATACCTATACCTGAAAGTAGCCTTCTTATCCTGTCAGTTGCTGAAATTACTCTATTCAGATTATTGTACCTTTCCCATCTCTCAGATTTGTTTTCTCTTTAAGACAAAATTTTCTTTCTCTAAAAAAAGTATTGAATAGGGTAAACAAGTTGTGCTAATCTCTACTATCACAAAAGGGAAATTACACAGAATCTGTAGTTTTCATGTATTTTTCTGCGTAGAAGGATCATTTATTTTGTATTCTGAGGTGACTGGCATCGTGTGAGTACTTACCAATAGCACTTGTGGCTGGAGTTAATAGCAAGAAAACTAGCTGTCTTGGGTTTGTATTAGTATTTTCAGAAGTTCTGAAACTTAGTGACTTGTATAATGTGTATAAAAATGTTCTGTTTAATCTATGCATTTCATCATCTCAGATGTTTAGAGCAAAGGGAGGGGATCCTGATCATACCTGACATGCAAAATTAGCATGGAAAACCTTCCTCCTCCACTTCAGTTTAGATCTTGCCATCATTGACCTACTCTCCAAGGCTCTCACCTTTGCTCCTTTGCTGTTTCGTTGCTTTTATTCATGTTACTGGCTTCATGCCTATTTACTGCCTCAGTTTTTTAATTTATTTCTTTACCATTCATGTGTTTCAGGTTATTTCCTGAAAATTTATTCCATTTCTCATTTTCTATTGCTTTCTACTATGTATCATCAGAGCTTTGAAGTAGCAATCAAGCTGAATGATCTTATTTAACAAACTTACTGAATATCAACAGAAGAGCTAGATTGTGAAAATCTTTGACTGCCAAGGATTTTGGATTTTATTTTATTATCAAGAGTTGGTTTTGGATTCAAGTTTTAGAAAGGTAACCACCAAACAGTGAGAAAAGAAGATTGGAGAGGGATTCAAATCAGAAACATATGTTTGGAGGCGATTGTAGGTTTGAATGAAAGAGATGAGATTCTGAATTAAGAACTGAAGATGGAGAGAAAGTCATAGAATCAATGGAGTCATGGTAGTATACGTAAGAGAAAAGAAGAAATGATATTTTGATTGAGCAAATAAGTATTTTGGATGCCTCTAACTGGGCCAGGCACTGAAGGTATTTTGTGTTGTAAGATCTATTATGATCTCATTCACAACTGGTAATGCAATACTTGTCAGTAGATAATAGAAATACAGGATGAGAGAAGAAATTACTCTGCACAGGAACAATCTCTGACAGCTTTATGGAGAAGGTTAGAGTTGAGTTTAATTTAGAGGTTACCATTTATATCAGTTGCTTTCTGTACAGGTTCTGTGAAGGTAGATTTAAACTTGAAGATGAAGATCAGATGACCAGAGGAGAAGTGAAGGGAAGAAGGAGGTCCAGAGTTGGGGGGGGAGTACCATCGGCTCCTTAGCCTCAGTACCATGTATCAACCACTGTTCTAATGAAACTTTCTAGGGAAATAGTCTGAACTTTCAGAGCTCTAGCCTACTGAGTTTTGAAACTCTGGATTCAGTAGGAATCTGAGCTGATGATTTGATTTTGCAATCTTTTTTGTAGTGTTCCTGGAGAGCAGTGGAAAGGACAATTTACCACAATCCAGAAAAGGTAAGGCCAATATTTTATTTTTAAGTTGTTTGATTCAGATTTTAATAGGTTTTTTTGCTACCATTCAAAAAGTTTTTATGATACTTTAGAGATAATATAATTAAGAGTTAGAATTACCAAGAAAAAAGCCATGTTTTGCACATAGAGAATTTGCAGCGTTCAAAGTGTTTTTCCCTTGGGTGCTGTGAGCCTGGTGTGAAGTTTCAAGGATGTTTTCCCCTAGTTGTGTTTTAGGACTAACTTTAAAAACTTTATCTGGTTGCCCAACAGTCTACTCTCTTGGGTTTTCTGGCTCACTAATGTGTGACATTATCAGGTTTACAAAAATCATATAATGCGTGTCATTATCAGAGGTTTAATATTTTTAAAATTATCTTTCAATTTCCTTATGTCCCAGGATTATTCATTTTAGAAAAAGTTCTTTGCCAGGACACTATTTAATAGAAACTATTGTAATTACAGTGGTCAGTGTTTGGGCTGTGGAAAAACCATAGAGTCTATTCATCTGAGTCCAGAAGAGTATGACTTTCTCAAGAGAAAAATTCTGAGGGATGTGATAGATGGAGGTGACCAATACAGAAAGACAACACCTCAGGTGAGTCTGGACCAGGTTTTATTGCATTCTTGGTGTCTGGAGCAGGGGATGACAGTTTTTTCTGTAAAAGGCCAGATAGTAAAAAATAAAATAAAATTTAATCCTCACTCAAGGATATGTTTTTGATTTTAGAGTGGAAAGAGGAGAGAGAGAGAGAGAGAGAGAGAGAGAGAGAGAGAGAGAGAGAGAGAGAGAGAGAGAGAGAGAGAGAAACACTGATGTGAGAGAAAAATCAATTGGATGTGTCCCAACCAGGGATTGAATCCACAACCTTTTGGTGCATGGGATGATGTTCCAACCAACTGAGCCACCCAGCAGGGCCATATAGTAAATATTTTAAGCTTTGTGGGCCATACAGTCTCTGTTGCAACTTTTCTGCTCTGCTATTGTAGTGGAAACAGCCACAGACAAACAAATGAGCAGGGCTGTGTTTCAGTAGTATTGTATCATAATAAGCAAGCGGTGGAATTTTTTTTTATGCAAAGAGAAGCAATGTGCTGGATTTGGCCTGCTGGGCATGGTTATGAACCTTTAAGAAAGATTGCTTTAGAATTTCATAGAACAGTTTAGTTAGACTATTATCCATCTACTGAAGTCAGTCTTGTTTCATCTGGGCACAAGTGCCCTTAAGCCAAAAAGATAGATGCTTATTTTTTGTCTAAGTGCTTCCATGAAAACATGGTTTCTCACAACTTTTCCAGTCAAGAGAGTTTAAGATATCTTAACAAAATTATTTCCAAGTATCCTTAGTATTAAATTTGATCCTCTAGGTCATTTTTAATAGCATTATTTTCCTAGTCTTCAGTACTTGATGCTGGTTTACTAAGATTAAGTTGAAGTAAAATGTTTTTACCTTGGGGAGAGGCTACCCCATCATCTCACTGAATGCTTTTTCTTTAAAGTACCAAATAAAAACAAGAAGTGAAAATTGTTTTGCCTTCTCACCTTGACTTAATGTTGTCAGATAATACCCCTAGATCATAAGAAAAGCTTTAATCCTCAGAATAAAGTCAAA